GTTTCTGCTGGCACAGCACTTGATCAATGTAATTCTCATCAATCAAAGAGCTTTCCAAAAGGGGGAAAAAGTTTTTGCAAACCTCCCAAAAACAGCCTGTTTTTCACGAAAACGGGCCCGTTTCTCCCCCTCAAAAAAGGCATGAATTGGGGGGGCTTGGAGAGTGCTCCTGGGGGAGCCAAAAATGAGCAAAAATATGGAGGCTTATAAAATGCTGCTGGGGGTTGGGGGGGCAAAAAATGTTCTGTTTTTTGCTCATTTCTGCCCTCCCCACCCCCCAGGAGCTCTCTGAAAGCCTCCATAAGGGTATGCACGGCCATTTGGGTGAAGGGGTGGGGCTTCGGGAGGCAAAAATGCTGTATTTGGTGTATAAGACGCACCCAGATTTTCAGCCTCTTTTTTGAGGAAAAAAGGTGTGTCTTATATTCCGAAAAATACAGTGTGATTAAAAAATGTATCTGCTCCAGCAACACAATAAAATTATAGCTGATTGATAAACCAAGACCATATTTCATAATAATTCCTTCATTTCAATCCAGTTCTAGTATTAGATATTGGTAAATTATTTGACTGTCTTCCAGATGAGTTAAAGAAGAAACTGCTCTGCAAAATATCATTTCTTTTGCTGTAGTGGTGATGGCTACACTGGTCTAAGAGTAGTAGATGGTTAGCTATTTTAGGTATGAGGTGATAATTGACTTTTCACTTATAGCTAAAACAAATCCTAAATAAGATAAAAACATAAAACATTATTAAGCATTACCAAAAAAAGTTTATATTTTTATCTAATTTTTATAGCTGTCCATTTCATAGGCAAGTGACTCTGGGTATCATACAACAAAATATGAAGTAAACATACCTATGTTTATGTTTCAAAAATATGCCAATCACTAAAAAAAAATATTGTTGGTTAAGAAAAAGGACATCCCCAAGAATTATAAGAGTTAGCAGACATTATAAAACCATATACATTATTATTTACTTCTTACTTGCATTAAGTCTTGTCTTTCTCTTTCACCCAAACATATGGCCTTCCTGATGCTTCGAAGTTCATTCATTATTGCTTGGGCTTCATCCAATTTATAATTCACATGAGAATTAGACATCTTCCGATCAATCCTAATACGCAAACATACATTTGAAAGTTTACTTTTGGTAATACAAATCTGAATAAATCTTGAAGTCTGATATTAAGAATTTTTTCCTTATTTCAGCTGGTCACAAGTAGTAGTGGAGGTGGCAACTATTAAAAGCTTTTTCTACCTTCTATTTATATTAAATTAGGTGAAGTATTGTCCTTCTAACCCTTCTATCGATACAGATAGAGAGGGAAAGAACAAGTAGAAAAGTAAAAAGCTCTATGCCAGCTACTGTTCTGCAAAATGGCCAAAGTATACAATGGACAGATGTCATGAGACGGGAGAAACTGTTCTATACAAACACTATTTCAGTAGTGGTCAGGAAGGTTATTTCTTAAGTAAAAACTATAGTTTTTTTAAACCCTGCTAATACCACTAACACTAAAATAAAATATAAAATTTATATCATTATTTTAACATCTTTTGTTGTCTACATTATAAACATGAACATGAACAACCGCCCTGTCCTTTTACATTTTAACTTACTCTTGCAGTGTTTCTACTCCTTTTTCTTTGTACTGTAGCTCTTGCTTCATCTGTGTTAATTCTCTCTTTAATCTAGAAAGCTTGAGATAAAACCATGAAGAAACAATTGTGCTAATAACCAAAGAAATTATTGCAATTTATAGTTCAGCTATGATCAGTTTCGTTTCTTAATTTAGGATTGTTGAATTTGAGACTACAATATGACCTTTCTGTACATAACTTCAATTAGCTAATTAGACAGAAAAACCTAATAGCATTATACAACAAAATTTGCAATTTGGTTGCAATCAAACTGTGTATGAGCACTAGCATGAAAATCCATATTTCACTGTGATATGCAGTGTAATTTTTATGTCATATTAATAAATACATTCTTTGTCATAGACCAGCTTTAGATAATCTAAAACTATAAAGTTTACAACCTATAACTACAGTAAGTTAGAGTATAAAATATAAAAATAATTAAAATATTAGGATTAGTATTATAAATGTCATACTTTCCTAAATTAATCTCTGCATCCTAAATTACAATTGCTTCTCAAAATGTTACCATAAATAAGAAAATGATACAATATAATGGCTTAATTACTATCAGAACTTATTATGTACTTTCTGGTGGGAAAGATTTTACATATTTATGCAAATTTTACACCAATTGTTCCTAACAAGCAGTCCTTCTATTGGGGTAAAATGTGAATTTTAATAATTATGGAACATTTTAATATACAGTATTTTTAAAAATGTTACTCACTCTATCACGCCGACTAGCTATTTCTGCTTTAATCTGAGATGGGTTGTATTTAGTGTTGGTTGAAAATCCAGAATATGCTGAAAAACACAAAAAAATAAGTATTCAAAATAAACTCTACAAAAAGTTTCTAACAAGCACAAGAAAAGAAGGGAATTTCACTCTCTTTTTCACAGAAAAGTGGCAACATATAATCTACCTCTTCATCTAAAAGTATGATTTCATGTAAAAGCTAAGTTCACTGTTAGTTCAAGAGACCTAATGTTAGTATTTATTTTACAATCAAGAATTAGAATTTAGCATTTTATAACATAAACTGTAAGAATAGGGGGAGCTAAACTTCTCACTCTAACTTAAAGAAGAATAGTGCTTGTAATAATATCCAATTATTTCAATTCAAAATAATAGAGGTAGTGGCACATAGAACAAGATTAAACCAGACTGGAAAATAAACTTACAAAACAATACATTTAAATGATAACGATTGCAAAAACGAGAGAAAAATCCATTATAATCCAAAAACCTCCAATATTCAAGAAATTTTGTTAAATATAAAGGGGAACTAATCACAAAGTGATGTTTATTAAATAAATAATTGTATAAAGTGACCTGAATTGTTACTTAACCCAGATTTACTCAGACTAAATATATCCAAATCCAGTAATTTGTTTCTGTATTTTACTTAAAGAACAGTCTAGGACCGGGATAGCGAACCTATGGCACGCGTGCCACAGGTGGCACGTGGAGCCATTTGTCCTGCGCTCCCCCCTTATAGCACGCGAGCCAAAAAAGGTTCGCCATCACTGGTCTAGGAAATCTTTACCAAATGATACCATTTAAATGTCAGTTGGTCTTACCTGAACTGCATGTTTCGAAGGATGGAGTGGGAGCAGTCACAGCTGGCCCATCTGTCCGGAGACTGAGGTAAATCTTGAGGCCACACCTCTACCTCTCCTCTGACTCTCCAAATTAACCGATGATCCAGTCAAGGCGTCTCTAGAAGGAAGGGAACAGGGTAACCCCCCCCCACTCCCCCTCCTGGTCCCTGACTGATCGGTAACACTCTACTCAGGCCTACCCTGCTCGGGGCGCACTACAGGCGGGAAGTGACTGCTTCCATGCCATCCTTCGAGACATGCAGTTCAGGTAAGACCAACTGACAGTCTCCGAAGTGGGGCGTGGGAGGAGTCACAGCTGGGACCTACCAAAGCTAGGTGTCCCTGGGAGGGTCCATGGGGCCTGAGTCCCCCCGAGTATTCAGCACTCTCTGGTGAACTCTCCTCCCAAAGGACACCTCCGCGGAGGCGAAGGCATCCAGCCTATAGTGTCTGATGAACGGAGAGGGCGAAGCCCATGCTGCCGC